AGCATTTTTTAGAGTGTAAAAACCATGGTAAAATCTCAAGGAAACCATAGTCTTCCGGGATTGTTTTTGTCGTTTTCAGTAATTTGTTGTTATTCAGTATCATTGGTTTATTGCGTGACTGTAAAACAGTAAGCCTTGGATGTGTTGCCACCTTGTGGGCAAACTTACTAGTGCAAAAAAAAAAAAAACACAAAAGTGCATGTGCGAACTCAGCGTACAGGCGATTAAAAAAAATTTAAAATCACACTGCATGCTAACAGTATGTGCGTACTGGGCTGAAAATGAAATCTGCGGCACTCAGACCATAAACTGCAGTATACTTTTGACTTTAGCAGCCCAATAGCAGTGGCCAATAACAATGCCCATTTTGACTTTTTGCACAAGCAATCAAATCTAAACTATTCAGAAACGGTAATAGCCGAGACATTTCCAACTTCATTTCTCAAGAATATTTACTATTCTTCATACAGGCGTTTATGACGGCCCGTCACTCTCACGGATCACCCGTCGCCCTCATCGAGTCTTGGCTGTGCCACCTGCTATTCGGTTCACCGCTTGGTATTGAAGATGCCCATGATCCCCCCCACGCCGCCCCAGCCGCTGCGCCCCTCTCGCCCGCCAAAACCAAGGAGGAACTGAGTGAAGGAACCCGCAAGAGGAAGCCCAAGAAAGAGTAGAGTTACAACAAAATCATCAACCCAACCTGTGATATGACAGAGCGGCCCGGCTCTGCTTGAGAAAGGAGGGAATTTTATCTTAAACCAATGCAAGTTTCTCTTTCAGTGGTGCTTTTAATGACAGACATGCCATATAGAGACTCTGTAAATAGCTTGCCCCCTCTTTGCCAACATCCATGTCTTTATTTTTCGTAATGTTTTCCATCATTCAAGCCCCATGCATCTGATGATGTGCAGCGTGTCATGAACAGGTGAATGAACGAAAGGCAGTGTGATGAGAACCTGCCTCTAGCCGTTTGAGTTCATACGTCACTGAAGGGTCCATCCAAATAACTTGAGACTCGTCGTCCACCGCTGGTTGACCCGACTTCCACAGAACACTGCTGCTTTTTAAATCCAGTTGAATTGGGGGGGAAACCAATACATTTTCCAAAAAAAAAAAAATTAAAATTAATAAATTTTTTCAGCCAAAATCAGTCGTTTCAAATTCTTCCAAATTTTGTGTCTTCAGTGATATGGAGAAAAAAAAATTGCCTTCTATTAAACAA